ACTATAGGCCTTTGTTAACATTTCACAGAATTTATTTCATTTTTTAAGCAAAATTGGATACAAATTTCTTTGATCCATTTCTCGAAGGAAAATCGCCGAGCTCATAAAACATAATAAAGAAAATTTTATGACAACCGGACCCTCCGAACCCGCGAAATTTAACAATTCTCGTTATTTTCTGAACACACCTCGTATTTGATAAAAATTAAAATTTATAATAAACCTAAAACTAGTAACAGCACAAAAATTTAACCATGGTTCATTTTACGATGTCACTTGTGTTTATGATTGTTTTTCTGTTCTTATAAGTATACTTACTTCAAAACCAAGTACCAACCAGTACCAACTTGTTGTAATTAAATAAAAACGTATACAAATTTATATATCGCGCGTTTCAATTGTGTTTGTTTTGGACCTCATGTTAAATGAAAATACTGTAATTGCAATTGCAATTAATTATTAATAAATGGAAATATATATAAATACTACACTGTTCAAATTTTCATGACCATTTTAACACCAAATTAACACCATACATGGTCTATATCGATAAAAACCAAAGTGGTGTTAAATATGGTCCGTTGGCCCGGTGTTAATTCAAATACTAAAACGGTGTTAATTTAACTTTCACACAGTATTAAAATAAATTTTACTTGGTGTAAATTGAACTTCTTTTCAGTGTTAAATATTATGTGTTTGTGGTCAAATTAAATCATATATGTCAAATTAAATCATATATGTGTAGTATACTACACAGAAAAAAGGAAAAAAAAAGGAAACAGGAAGTTCCTTGACGCATTACTAGTATATTACCAGTGGTATTATTCCAGAAAATGGAACCTTCAACTCGCTAGAGATAATATTTTTAGTGCGTTCCACTAACTTAAAATACTTCAAGTATTGACAGCTGTTTCCACCTATTTAAGGTTTCTTTAGTATCGAACAACTTGTAGTGTCACACCAAAGCAAAGGATCACCTGAGTTTATATATTCTTCATGTAAGTCACCAGAGGCGAGATTTAAGAACATCATGTGATCTTCACCGCCTTTGCCGCGATCGGTACACATTTTCAACCATAATTCATGGTGTTATATTAACACCACTTGGTGTTGGATTTTGACACCATTTTTAGATTACTTTTTACACCACAGATATTTTAAACAGTGTAATAATAAAAATATATTGTTAGCTTTAAGACATATACAGGGTGTCCCGAAAATGTCGCACTAACGGTATGCCACGCTATATTAAGTATAAAAAAATATACTTAAAAGTGTGTAAAATCCAAAAATTCAAAAAATAAAGTGTTCCATTGAAAATAAGAAAGTTGATTGGAACACCAAACACCCTGTATACATAAAAATTTTATATTTAAAACAACTTTGTAAGATCATACAAATTTCTTCCTTACAAATTTTCAGTAGGTAGTTTTTAAGATATTTCTTTGACAATATAATTCATTAATATTAGAACCAATAAAATGCCAGTATTCCATAGTGACGTATTTTATCACAGCGGCAATAATTTTTATCATCTTGTTTACACGTTACTATGAACTTTGACGTTTTTTTGATTTGACATTTGTTGTCATTTAAATACTGTGTTTGTTACCTAAATGATTAAAATAATGAATTATAAACTCTAAAAGATCGATGGGTTGGTGTAAACGATAATAAAGTTAAGGTAAGTTTGAATAAATAAGGTTTATTAAAGTCTTTTTATATTTTAAAGCACATTTTAATTTCAAATGTCAAACTAAAAATTCGTTAAATCCTAAAATTCATTATATTTTCTCATTAAATATAACTCGTGGTATGATTAATTATCGATGATATTTACTCATTAAAACCGAAGCAGCACATTTCACTCGTCCTGCGGACTCGTGAAATCTGCAGCTCGGTTTCAATTCGAAAATATCATCGATGATAATCATACCACTAGTTATATTATGGGTGACAATACAATTCATTAATATTAGAACCAATAAAATGCCAGTATTCCATAGTGACGTATTTTATCACAGCGGCAATAATTTTTATCATCTTGTTTACACGTTACTAAGAATTTTTACAGTTTTTTTGATTTAACATCTGTTGTCATTTAAATTCTGTATTTGATATATATCAATAAAATAATGAATTATAAACTCTAAAAGATCGATGGGTTGGTGTAAACGATAATGAAATTAAGGTAAGTTTGAATAAATAAGGTTTATTAAAGTCTTTTTATATTTTAAAGCACATTTTAATTTTAAATGTCAATCTGACAAATTTTTTAATTCCTAAAATTCATTATATTTTCTCACTGTGGACTCGTGAAATCTGCAGCTCGGTTTCAATTCGAAAATATCATCGATGATAATCATACCACTTGTTATATTATGGGTGACAATACAATTCATTAATATTTGAACCAATAAAATGCCAGTATTCCATAGCATTTTATTACAGCGACAATATAATTCATTAATATTAGAACCAATAAAATGCCAGTATTCCATAGTGACGTATTTTATCACAGCGGCAATATTTTTTATCATCTTGTTTACACGTTACTATGAATTTTGACGTTTTTTTGATTTGAGATTTGTTGTCATTTCAATTCTGTTTTTGATATATATCAATAAAATAATGAATTATAAACTCTAAAAGATCGATGGGTTGGTGTAAACGATAATGAAATTAAGGTAAGTTTGAATAAATAAGGTTTATTAAAGTCTTTTTATATTTTAAAGCACATTTTAATTTCAAATGTCAAACTAAAAATTCGTTAAATCCTAAAATTCATTATATTTTCTCACTAAATATAACTCGTGGTATGATTAATTATCGATGATATTTACTCATTAAAACCGAGGCAGCACATTTCACTCGTCCTGCGGACTCGTGAAATCTGCAGCTCGGTTTCAATTCGAAAATATCATCGATGATAATCATACCACTTGTTATATTATGGGTGACAATACATTAATATTAGAACCAATAAAATTCCATCATTCCATAGTTACGCATTTTATCTCAGCGGCAATATTTTTTATCATCTTGTTTACACGGTACTAAGGATTTTGACACTTTTCATGATTTAACATTTGTTGTCATTTAAATTCTGTGTTTGATATATATCAATAAAATAATGAATTATAAAAGATCGATTCGTTGGTATAAAAGATAATGAAATTAAGGTAAGTTTGAATAAATAAGGTTTATTAAAGTCTTTTTATATTTTAAAGCACATTTTAATTTTAAATGTCAATCTGGCAATTTTTTAAATCCTAAAATTCATTTTATTTTCTTACTAAATATAACTCGTGGTATGATTAATAATCGAAAATATTTACTCATTGAAACCGAAGCAGCACATTTCACTCGTCCTGCGGACTCGTGATATCTGCAGCTCGGTTTCAATTCGAAAATATCATCGATGATAATAGTGAAAATAGTTTCAAATAAATTTAAAAAATCCTGATGTTTCAGCTGAAGTTAATATTAATATTATAAGAGTTAAATCAGCTCTAAATATTAATATTAACCTGGCCCCACGACTGCCAAAGGAAAAATACTTGTATTTTATACCGGTAATGTATAAGAAAAAAAATGTATAGCGAAATCTAGAAAGCCGCAACTTTTCTTAAATCTATCTAACTATAGGTATCCCACTATTTTATGAAGATATTTTTCCAAATATTTTCAAAAGTTTAATATTTTTTCTACTCCCACCTTTAAAACGACATGACACTAAGTGACCTTTTAAATACACATTAACAAGTTTACGGCCTTTTAGTCACAAAAATAATTGTATTATATAATATATCTCAATACAAAAATACAACAGTATTAATTTATTAATTAATAGTTTCTTAGCACCAATATTAAAAAAGTTTATATGAACATTGTACTTTAATTTCGCCGGCAGAAAACTAGATTTAACTTAATTTTGGGTGGAAACTCCACCGTAGAGTGCCAATAAAACATTTTCTTTACTTTCACTGAAAACTGCTTCTGTATCGAATTAAACCGTCCATTTTCAATTTCATATAAAAATTTGACATTTACACATTCCCAAGTTGGTTACTCTATTGTTTTATAGATGTCGCTCTATACAAATATTTACACATACTTCCTGGAAGTGAATATTTAATTTAAATCATTTTAGATAATAATAAGTGTTTGTCGTAGAAAAAGTACAGTATGCAACTCGTTGCAATTCGTGTCTAAAATCGCGTTTATCAAACTTGATACATAATATGCTATTAAATAATAATCCTTTCAACATGATAATTATTTTCTTAATTTCAAACAATGTTGACATTAACATAAAACATAAAATTGTACAATAATTTATTGGCTCAAGGGATTAGTTAGTCATATTTCCTGGAAACTGTAATAATCTTCGAATATCCTCAATTACACCTATAATCATTATCCACCTGGGGTAAAAAATATTTATGTAAACACTTTACACAATCTTTGCTGCAATAAATTTTTATTAGCATTAAAATAAAATTACATTATAAAGACACCGGAAGATACTTAATACCTTTTTGTGGGCGGAACAACAATAAATAGGGGATGAATATTTACGGAAAATAATTTTTATAAAGGAAAGAACAAGTGCGAAAACACTTAGTTTATTGCGACAACCCAAGTTTAAAATTTGTAAAATGTTTAAAATTATAATTGTTCTGTTAAGTTCGGCTTTGGTGTTCGGAAATTCGGTGAATATTAACAGTTTTTTAGATACCAGGGCCCTATTTTTATTTGCTGTAAGTAGTTAATTTTAATAAAAAAGTAATTTTTATTATAACTTTCTAAAAAGGCATAAAAAATTCGAAAATCCAACTAACAAGAATAATACAAAATACATCCTGTAATTAATTTAAAATATTCATTTTACGCCAGTTATTATGTTCATTTACAAAAAAGAATTTTAAAACTGTTTACACAATCCTTATTTTTAGTTTTTTTAATATGTTAAATTTTATATTTTAATTTAGGGTCCAATGAATAAAGAATTAATAGAAAGTATAAGTTCGGGAGTTCAGCTTGCCATGGATCAATGCAAGAAGGATTTTAAGTGGGAGAAATGGAATTGCCCTGATTCGTTCTTTTCAAGGTATGCAACAAACCATAGAGATAGTATTATAATTATTATAATAGTATTATTTCTATGGCAACACTTGATATAACATTTTAAGGCACAGATCGTTTTTTTTTATTCGGAGTTTGACAACGGGCCCCCGGTTCAGAAGGGCCCCTAAATCTTAAGTAGTCTTTCTCAGTCCAACAAAAAACTACACTCACAGGCAAAATAATCGATCCACACAAATTTTCGATGAATTTCAATCGCAAATCACTTTTTTATTTGATGTCGAATTTAAATGAATATTAAAGAATATTGTAGATGAATTAATGGACAATCGCTCACATTTTAAAATATTACTAAAAAATAGACGTACGTTTATAATATACAGGTTTAAACAAAAAGATGGTATAAAACATCTTTTTGTTTAAACCTGTATATTATAAACGTACGTGTATTTATAGTAATTTTTAAAATGTGAATTGCGATTCTCCATTAATGTATCTACAATATTCTTTAATATTTGTTTAAATCCGAAAACAAATAAGAAAGTTATTTGCGATTGAAATTCATCGAAAATTTGTGTGGATCGATTATTTTGCCGGTGAGTGTATCTAAAATTTAGGGTTTTAAAATTTCCGGAATTGAGCCGGCGAAAAAAAAAACGGTTTTTTGGGAATTTTCAGAAAAATTGACTTGCATTTTTCTCATTTTATTCAGAGAGTAATACGAAAAAATGCAAAAGTCAATTTTTCTAAGTACTATAGTACTATATAGTACTATATAGTACTATAGTACTTAGAAAAATTGACTAGATATCTATAGATACTATCCGTACACTGATATCGAAAAAAAAGTGACTTTCCGACGCTGAATATAATCATAATCTGAAATCAATTTAATTTAATTCAATGTTTAGTTTTATTTTTTTTTAATTAAATTAATGTTAAGTTGTTGATTGCTAATTTTTCAAAAAAAATTCAATTTTTCCCAAAAAAGACATTTTTTGAAAGCCTGGTTTTTATCCCAATTTTTTTTTGTTTTTTTTTCGACACTTTAAAACCCTAGTTTAGGTATAAATATTTAAGGACCCAGCTTTACCATAAAATATAAACTGATTAAAAAAAATACAAAATATAAAGTCAAAACTAAAAAAGATTTTTAATATTTTGGTCTCGGGAGCCCCTAGCTGCAATCCATCAGGAATTAGAAAAAAGGTTATAATTAAATTAAATAATGGTTAATCTTAGACTGATTTTTAAAATTTAAATTAGGTACAAGTTCATATAAGTAAACTTATAAGTCCGCTGGAAAAAGCTTGTAATCAATTTTCATATCCCTGATTACATTAAGAGTGTTGCAAAGGACTAACAAATTTAAAATAACAAAACATTAATATTTACAAACCAATCACATTATTTGATAAGGAGACTAGGGGCCCCATTTTATTTTACCGCCCCGGGCCCCCGACGGGTTTAGTCCGCCACTGTATGGAAGGGACAAAAAAAGATTTATCTTGTCCCGTCCACACCTGTCAATTATTAAAATTATCTCTACTTTTATAAAATATTTTTTGCGTTTTAGTATTTAATGTATAGCCTAATAAAAGAAGAATATGTTTGACAATTTTGATGCCAAAATATTATAAAATATAATAAATTACCTAGCATTTTTTTTTATAAAAACAGTTTTGTGATTTTTCCCGCCCGCATGCCTGATCATTGGTCGATCGAATTGGCCCGAATATACCAATTTAAAATATTAAAAATATCAAAGTATATTAACATACAATACTATCAAATGTGTCAAATATCATATAAAAAAACGAACTTTATTAATATTTAACAAACATATTATATAAATTTAAAATGAAAAATAAATTGAAAAAAAATGCAAAATTAAAAAAATGTTGTCGAAAACAGTAATAAGAAGTTATAAAAGGTAAAACAATTAAAAAAAGGTTTAAATTTTTTTACCATTTTTCTTAAAACGTTAAAAATACGTAACATCTCTAAAAATCACATTTTATTAATTTCAGACATTCGCTTTCATCCACAACCAAAGAAACAGCCTATACAAAAGCCATACTGGCAGCAGGTATAGTGCATTCGATAACGAAAAAATGCTCGAGCAAACTTCTACCAGGGTGCGGGTGTGATTCCCAAAAAATGGGCCCTGTATTCGACAATTTAGAGAATGCGAAATTGACGGAAAGCGACTGGATATGGGGAGGGTGTTCCGATGACGTCACTTACGCCGTTAAAGTGGCAAAACTGTTTTTAAACGCACTGGAAAAAGGAATGGCTTCTATAGGGAAACACAATTTTTTTATTGGAAAAAAAGTAAGAAAGTTATGGTGATTTTTATATTCATCTATTTACAATAAATGTATTATTTCTTATTTTATTTTATTAAAATCAGATCATTTTTTTATTTTTTAGATTGTTCAAAATGCTCTACAGAAAAAATGCATATGCACTGGCATATTGTGTCCAATTCAAACGTGTTGGATGGAGTTGCCAAAGTTTGAAGACATTTCTAAAAAAATCAAATTGAAATACAAAAAAGCTGCAAAAGCTGGTTGGTCAAAAGATTCCGATCATTTTGAGAATTCGTCAAGAAAAAAGATTTTCGGAAATCCCGTTTTGGAAAATGAAGAATCCTTGATTTATATAGAGAGTAGTCCTGATTATTGCGTACCAAACATTATAAAAGGTATTTTTTGGAATTCTAAAAAACACTTTAAAAATAATTTTATAAAAAATAAATAAAATACCTAAGTACCTAATACTTATATATTTTTTTTTAGACTGGCCAGGCACAAAAGGCCGCATCTGCTCCCGCCACCGCACAAAACAAACCGACTTTTCCGAACGAAAAAGTTGCAAAACCCTGTGCAAATCATGCGGATACGCAGTAAAAAAAATCATCAAAACTGAATTGAAAAGATGCAACTGCACATTTAAATGGTGCTGTGAGGTGAAATGCGAAACCTGTATAGAGAAAATCGAAGAATTTATATGTGTTTAACTACTTATTAATATTTATTTAATTTATTATGTATATATTGTAAAATAAAAATATTTAAGTTAAATTTGACGCCTTTTAAAATACCCTGTCGCCACCTACATTTCAGTAGTGGTAGCTGACAACTACTAGTTGTCAATTTTTGAGGTTAAGCCAAAGATAAGCGCTTAATCAGCTGTTTTATTTACTATTTATTTTTATGCTTTTTTAAATATTAAAAAAAGAACAATTAGTTTTATCAGGCTCTTGTTACCAAATGAATATTTGTCAACGCAATTTGCTGGGTAAGATAAAAACACTTAAAAAGATAATAAATTTGAAGTTATAATGGGTATTATTTATTTCAGGTACTGTGAAAAACGTTTTTTTGTGTAAAAATATTTCATTCAATAGGCCCAAAACTTTTTTGAATAAGGCTTGTTTAAGGGAGATTCATTGTAAGTAGTACCTATATTCTTATGTGACATGCTCTGAGAAAACAAACCTTGGGTGCAAAAATAAAATTTTACAGATGAGGTGATTAAATTTTGCTCAGCATAGGCGTTTGGGTAGTATCTTTTGAGATAAACAAATCATTCTTGGGCTTTTAAAAGATGTTAAAGTAGGGATGCTGATTCTTTTCAAAAAGATCGATCCTTATAATTGATTAAAATCAAAGCTCTAAGTAAAGGGTGGGCCATGTTTATGTTGAATTATAATATAGCAATAAGAACAAGAAAAACTGATTTTTTTTCAACGAATTTTGCTTTATTTGATACAATGTTTCTTCCGATTAAGTATGGGAAATGATTTTATTTAAGTGGCCACCTCAGCTGGCTCGGCAGTAGCCCATCCTGGAACACCAATTTTCGAGCACTTTGTAAAAAGTTTGCTGCTCTATTTAGGCAATTTGAGCTTGAATGTTTTGTTTTAAATGGTGAATAGGCTTTGTTACGGTGACGTGTGGATTTTCCGTGGCCCAAATCCTACATTTTGCTTGTTGACATAACCTGCGAGGTAAAAATGCGTCTTATGCGAAAAGATGATTTTTCTTGCAAAATTAGGGTCATCGTTCAACTGGTTTAAAGCCCACTCAGCAAAGCCAAAACGTTGTGGATGGTCAACTTGCTTTAACTCCTGAACAAGCCGGACTTTGTACGCAAACATACCGAGGTCTTTGTGCAGAATCATCCTCAGAGTGGTACGGGAAAGGACGAGTTGTTGACATCTGCGCCGAGTTGGTGTTGACGCGTTCATGCGTACATTTTCGGCAACAGCAGCAATTGCTTCAGGTGTACGTCTAGGACGAGCATGCGAAACATGTTTTATGTCCACCAGCATTTCATTTCTGCGCAATTTTTTTTCATCAAATTTGTAATACTTTGGTTTGACGGCCCCTCTTTTCTTCCAAACGCAATTTTCTTGCCGTCTCTGCGATCACAGTCACATTCAAAGTAAGTTTTGAGTATTTCTAAACGTTGATCCAAATTTATTCGGTGCATATTTTGTAATCGGAAGGTTAAAACTAAACCACTGTCAACAATTCATAGCGCTTAAGTTGAAAGCTTCATTAATAGGACGTAGTTTAAAATTCAACTTATAGATGGCCCACCCTTTAGGTATCAATTCAGAAATAAATCCAAATAATCCAAATAATCGATGTTATGATATAATTGCTCTTCCAACTGGCTGTTTTTCATATAATATATAAAACCTGAACAAATACTATATACCTAACATATACAGTATGGCCCATTTAAGATGGAAACACCCCCATAACTTTTTAATTTGTTACTCGATTTTAATGAACAAAGGCTCAAAAGATACAAAATAAAAAACTCTATCTAAGCCAGGGTGATCTAAGCTATAAAAAATATTTTCAATGTCACTTGAGAATCTCAAGTGACATTGAAAATATTTTTTATAGCTTAGATCACCCTGGCTTAGATAGAGTTTTTTATTTTGTATCTTTTGAGCCTTTGTTCATTATAATCGAGTAACAAATTAAAAAGTTGAGATGCCTACTATAATATTTTTTTATGCCTACTATAATATTTTTTTTATGTCAAAATTCGGAAAAAAAATTAGGGTAGTTTTTTTCGAAAAAAAATAAGTACGCCACTGAATGCGGAATGCTTAAAAAGGGATACAAACCAAATTTCATTAAAAACGAACTGTTAATAACTATTTTAGACAAGTTTTTTTAATATTTATAACGAAAAATACAACACATTTAGGAGGTTTAGGAGACTATTAACTATACCTATAACCAGTGGTGGCTGGTGGATTTTGGGCACACCCATATCTCAGTTATTAGACATGGGACCCACATCAAATTTATATGAGTTTATAATGACATTATATAGACAAGTTCTGCGCAAGCAGAATTTAAATTGAAGTTTGCGAAAAAAAGTTATTTTTAAGTGTGCCCCCCCAGCCTCCTGCCCCCCAAATTAAGATAATTCAAATTAAAGAGGTACAATATTTAATTTACTGAAGTTTATCGACAAATTTTAAATTTAGTAAAAAAAAATAAAAATTGAAAATGGTTAAAACCCGTAAAAAATTTTTAATAAAATTTTTTTAATAAAATTTAAAATTTGTCGAATTAAATATTGTACAACTTTAATTTGACTTATCGGCCATTTCAAGCGCGCGAAACGCACGAATTACAAAACTGTTTTTATAAAAAAAATTGTAGATTATTTATTATATAATATTTTGGCATCAAAATTGTCAAAAATATTCTTCTTTTATTAGGTTATACATTAAATAAAAAAAAACTCAAGAAATATTTTATGAAAGTAGATATAATTTTAATAATTGAAAGGTGTGGACGGGACAAAAAAAAGATTTATCTTGTCCCGTCCATCCCTGTCAATTATTAAAATTATCTCTACTTTTATAAAATATTTCTTGCGATTTTTTTTATTTAATGTATACCCTAATAATAGAAGAATATATTTGACAATTTTGATGCAAAAATAATATACAGAGACCTGCATAAAAAACGGCCATTGCTGTATCATCGTTATTCCTTATCCGATTTTTAAAATTCAAAAACCAGTTTAAATGGTATGATGTCTTCTATGATTCGGCGATTAAAAATATATTTTTTTATTATGATGCTTGTGAGGACTGATAGTCAACTTTTATTTTTCAAATGACAACTATATTTTTTTATTATTTTTTCGAATTTCTTATGCTTCTCTGAGCATAACGGTATATCAATATCATAATTTTAATTATAAAACAGTGGCGGATCTAGGCAGACCGGGGCCTCGGTGCAAATTATACTTGAGGCCCCTGTACCCTTCCCTTTAAGACGAACATTACTAACCCTTTTAAAATTACTTTATATACAAATAATTTGACTATTTAATTTAATACAAAATATATATATTTTTTAAACATTTTACAAAACAGAAGAACATATAAGGAACACCTATAGAGATGTATCAATACTGTCTGTAGAATATAAAATCACCTATAAATAACTAAATTTTTAAAATACCCTTTTTCTAACTTTATCATTTGCAAAGCGATCTATTAGGTTTGTTATATCCAAGTTGGATGCAATTTCATATTCTACAGACAATATTGACAAATCTCGCAATCGCTGCTCACTTGTCGTAGATCTTAAATAATTTTTTAATATTTTTAGTTTACTAAAAGATCGTTCCAAAGAGGCCACCGTTACAGGAAGAGTAAAAAATAGCATAAAAACTATATAAACCTCGCAAAAGTCTGCTTCCATACAGGCAAAGTTCTTAATAATAAATTCAAAAAGATCTCTTATTGACATACCTTCGTTAAGGTCAGGTTTCATTAAATCAAGCAACATATGAAACTGATTTGCAAAACAATTAGTCAACACATTCGGATATTTTTGGGTCAATTTTTCACATCTTTGTAAAATTTCTTCTTTTGAGCTTTTAATTAAATACGCGGGTTCCAAAAAATTAAAATTTTGTTTAATATTGAACATGGCAGAAAATCTCCTAGATTTCGTTGTCTGAACTAATATTATTAACTTGTGTTCCAACGAGAGGTATGTTTTGTAATATTAATTGGTGATTGGATATTTCTGATTGGATATTGGTGATTGGACATTCAAATTCTTTCGATGAAGACAAACGACTTGAGCTCTGCCCAGGGGCATTTTGCTGGTTAAAGAATGTATCGATCTTGGGCAATTTTTTAGCTTTTTCAAAATTTTCTAGTTTTAATTTACGTTTTTCGGCTCCACTTTTATATTTGCGCTTGTTCATACCTTACTATAGGTATTAAATTTATTTTTGCGGCAAAAAATACAAATTAAAAAATGTAAGTATGCACATAGTGCTAAAATATTTATCGGATTACCTACCTCTATTGTCCTATGTAGTTAAAAAACACCGTAGGTATTTGTTATTATTTATATTAAGGAATTACCTAATTATAAAAACCAACAACTATTTCTTTTTTTCTTGATTAATTACCAAATATTTGAATTCGAAACGACTTGTCTAATTCTTAATTGTCAATGATGCGTAAACGATCCATAGATCATACATGTATGATCTATGAAACGATCAAGATTCTTTACTGCGCGGTTTTGTTACTGCACATACGTGGCCGACCAATCGCAATTGTCTTATTTATAACTATTGAGAGCCACGCCACCTATCAGTACAGCTCGAAAACAAGGCACATAAATGTAACACCAAGGTCGAAAGTTAGTTTTCTGCGCATCGCATAGAGTATACGCCTTGTTTTCGAGCTTTACTAATAGGTGGCGTGGTTCTCAATAATTTAGTAGGCGTGAAATGGTGTATTAATAATTATTATTAATGTATAATTAAGAATTTTCTATTATGTCTGGGGGCCCCTATATGACCGGGGCCCCCGGGCACTGCACCGAACTGCCCGATTATATGTCCGCCACTGTTATAAAACACGAAGAAAACAAATAAAACTGCAAAAATTTTTACATATCGTAGTAGCATCAGGACACCCACAAAATGCTTCCAATTTAATAAATATGCGTATCCATGGTTACGGCTTTTTTCTCTATGAACGTCAGGCGTTTTTTATTTTAAAACGTAAACACAGTTCATAAAAGAAATGTAAATAACTAAATAACCAAACTGTGTGAGAAGATTAGACACATCGCACATGGGCGACAACAGTGTCATAAGTAGTAAAACGATAATTCCGATATAAGTTAACGTAAAAGATTTTTGAATAATAAAATTCTAACATTTTTGCAAAATTATATTAACTTACACTGTAAGTTAATATAATTTTACAAAAATGTCAGAATTTTATTATTCAAAAATCTTTTACGTTAACTTATATCGGAATTATCGTTTTACTACTTATGACACTGTTGTCGCCCATGTGCGACATAATTTATTCAAATATGAATAATTTTGAGTTAACTGATATGATTCAGATTTATTTTGAATGTTTTCAAAATTCAAGAGAAAGATGTCGGCTTTGTTTGAACAGAAGCTATAAAATTTATTATGATTATTATACTATATTATGTATTACTTTGGTTTTGTTTCAGTATAAAATTAAAAAAATCTGTTTGTTTTATTGATGCTGCTTGGCATTTTTATTTTTATAAAAGTCATAACCATGGATACGCATATTATTAAATTGGAAGTATTTTGTGGGTGTCCTGATGCTACTGCGATTTGTAAAAATTTTCGCAGTTTTATTTTTTTTCTTCGTGTTTTATGATTAAAATTATGATATTAATATACCGTTATGCTCAGAAAAGCATAAGAAATGCGAAAAAATAATAAAAAAATATAGTTGTCATTTGAAAAATAAAAGTTGACTATCAGTGCTCACTAGCATTATAATAAAAAAAATATTTTTAACCGTCGAATCATAGAAGACATCATACCATTCAAACTGGTTTTTGAATTTTGAAAATCGGATAAGGAATAACGATGCTACAGCAATGGCCGTTTTTTATGCAGTTCTCTGTATAATAAATTAGCTACAATTTTTTTTATAAAAACAGTTTTGTGATTTGTCCCGTCCATCCGCTTGAAATGGCCGTTATCTTAATTTGGGGGGGCACACTTAAAAACTAACTTTTAAAAAACTTCAATTTAAATTCTGCTTGCGCAGAACTTGTCTATATAATGTAATTATAAACTCATATAAATTTGATGTGGGTCCCATGTCTAATAACTGGGATATGGGTGTGCCCAAAATCCACCAGCCGCCACTGCCTATAACTATACATTATTTCATTCGGTGATAATTCACGGTGGGGCTGAAGCATGTTTAAATGACGAAAATTTGCACAAAAATTCTGTTTGCAGATTTAGAATCTGTGTATTAAAATGAGTCGAAATCCAATATTTCAGACTTTTTCCCCGAGCCGTTTTTGAGAAAACCTATTTTTAAGAGTGAAAATAACCAACAATCACTAGCGATATTTTATGGTTAGCTTTTGTTAATTTAGGTGGGTGTTTCTGTACAAAGATTGCAGATTAAGGATAAATTTGTTTATTTTTAATAAATTAAACACCAACAAAATAAATATATAAATATGTATTATAAATAAAACATCAGTTTTAAAGTGATGGATATATGAAGAAGGCCTTAAATCAATATCATTGTTGCATAATCTGTAAAAAAAAACCGTGCCACTTTAAAAAACATTTAATAAATTAATACTGACATACCTACATATAACAAAACTGCCCGAAGTAATCTATTTGCATATTCTGGATGCTCCTTCGAAATCTTGAAATTGTTCCAAATTTTCTTGAAGTCAGCATGTACAGATTCCATAGCTTGTTCGCTATAAGACCCCAGGCCTTGTTGTCTTTGTTTACAAAAATCAGGAACATGAAAAATCACGGCATGAACTTTAGGAGTGATAGAAATCCCTAAGTCACAATAGCTTTCTTTAAATTTTTTTATATCGTCCTCGTAAGTTGGTTTTAGCTGACCAGAAAAACATGAATATAAATAAATAACCTATAACTTAAAGTAACAAATTTTGACATTTAAATTTGGCTTTTTCTAACATTGTTGTTTGTTGTCATGATGATTAAGAATTAAACTATTACTTTGTTATGAGGCAATGTTGCCATATAAAGAAAATATGACTGACAGAAAACGTATTTTTTAGTAGATTTTATGTGGCGTTGCACAGTAAAACAAAAAAAATTAAACCTCAAACATAGATTATTTAAAACAAAATTGAGCATCAAACAATCGATTCTAAAAATCTACCTTTAAAAAAAATATACCTAATCGATTTTTTTGCTAATTGATTAAAAATCCCTTAAATCACTTAAAACGATCAAAATCTTGAAAATCATTTTTGGACCCAAGGTTCACTGATCAGTATTAGATAAATGGTACCGACAACTTTGTGCCAAAGGGCAAGCTATCAGAAATTAAGGCATTTTGAATATTGAATAGATTATAATAATTATAATCTATATATAGATATATAACTTATAACTATAGTTATAAGCCTAATTAAATTAGGTACCAATAGCTAAATAAATAGCTTAATCCATGCAATAACATTTATCTATTGATAATATACAATAAAGAGTATAAAGCTTAATTCTTTTATAAAAATCGTCATTTTGCTTTAACAAATAACAAAGTGATACAAAATGTTGTTTATAACATGGTTAAAGTCGCACAAACTACTAGTGTTTTTAATTTTAGCCACAACAAGTTTTGCCATATCAACTACAATTTTAGGAGTGAAAAATACAGAACTAAAAAACGAACTGGAATCATACAAACCACAAGAAAAACCCACAATGGACAAATTTAGGCTTCCCATCACTGTAAAGCCTAGCATTTACGATTTATATCTTAAGCCTGACTTGGACACAGGTTAGTTATACTCCTTAAAGTACTTCGATTTATTCCTTGGGTTGTTGAAGGTGGTTCATAAAAAATCGATAGGAGTTAAATCCCAACTTTTTGGTGGCCAACTTTTGTCACCAAACCTCATATTTTAGGATTGTTCAGTGGGGAAATCGAGATTTTGGCCAGTGTTGCCTACAGTCCAAGCACAATTTCCCTGCACAGTAACAAATTGAATATTACCGGGGTAAAAATTGATGGAAATGTTGGAAAATTTTTTGTTGATAGTGATCATGAGTTGTTGACAATTTCCAAGGAGGATGGGAGTAATTTCGAAAATGGGGGGGTTAAATTGAAGATAGAATTTGGGGGTGATATGAAAAATAGGATTGTCGGGTTGTATACTAGTACTTATCTTACAGAGACTAATGAAAAAAGGTAAGTGGTTAACATTTAATTATTAATTGATTATTTTTTTTTATTTTGGTTTTGAAATCTTAATAATATGTTAAGATATTAATTAGTTAAGAAGGCTATATTTATTTAAAATTCCCTTTATTCCAAAAAAATGGTGTTACTTTAATGAAATTTTATTCCTTACAAATATAATACTAATTACCAAAACAAAATATTCAATAATTGCAGTACCTTGTACAGGGTGATCCTCTATAATGTCGCCCCCCTTTAACTTTTTTATTTTAATTAAGTCTCCCAAAAAATTTAAAAGTGTGGTTATGTAGGTACTAAAAAATACTTTTTTTCTACGTATAAAGTAAATTGGAAAATTGATCAGTATACAGGGAAAAACAAAAAGTTTATATTTTTTTCAATGGATCACCCCATATATGTATTTATTTTTTGATTCCTTGTAAAATTCTAAGCATATTTCAATGAATTTCATATAACATACCATATACCTAAATTCAACCGTTTCTGAAATATTTAAATTATTTTTAAGATAATAATTTGAAATAGTTTGTGTTTCTCTATCTGAGTACCCCATTTTTACTTATTTAACAAGACATATTGACATAATGTGACTATAGTAATTTATTTTAAATACAAATTTTGGTATACTGAGGCTTCTTGATTTCTAACAGTTTAAAAAAACATTTAATGATAACATTTCGAATGCGAATATTTCAGAAATAGTTGAGTTTAGGTATATGGTTTGTTAAATGAATTATGCTCAGAATTTTACAAGGCATCGAAAAATAAATTCATATATAGGGTGATCCATTAAAAAAAAATGGTTTTCCCTGTATATTGATCAATTTTCCATTTTTCTTTATACGCAGAAAAAAAGTATTTTTTATTACGTACATAACCACACTTTTAATTTTTTTGGGACACAAAATAAAAAAAGTTAAAGGGGGACGACATTATAGGGGATCACCCTGTACCTTGTAATTGACCAAAATTTTTATTATTAATGTAAATAAAAACATTAATAAATATTACCTACAAAATAATGAATTTGGATAAAATGAAGCTAAATCTTAGATCATATACAATAGGAGCAAAATGGAAGTTAAAAGAAACCTAACATATCATATAACGTTTTAAAAGTTTGGATAAATTATTTAAAAAAAAAATAACCAAAAAATAATAACTATATGCAGTTGCACTGCCTTTTTCAGGATATCATGAATATATAAAAAAGTTTTGTTTTTGTAAGGTTTTCTTTTATTTTTTTAACGTAATTTATCCGTTTGAAAATATATTTAAAGCGTTCATAATTCTAAAGTACCTATTTTTTAAGTTTTCAAAATTGAATTTTGTTTTTCTAATGTACAATTAAGATTAGAGCAAAAAATATTTTTGCAAATATAAAAAAGTAAAATTTGTTGACGATTTAAATTTATTGATTTTTTTATTTGAACTGTTTTCGCATGTAACAATTAGCTTAAGCGCGCGGAATTATGCTAAGCCTGCCTGAGCCACTTAAAAAACCTTAATGATAAGATTTGCTTAATTTAAATTATTACCTGTATGGTCTAGTGGCTGTTCGATCTCCTCGGAGATTTTTTCTAAAATGAAGTATTTTTAAGAGCAAAAGTATCGATTTTTTTTTTAATTATTGTCAAAATAACAGGTTGTATTATATTATAAATAAATTTATACTTCATAACGCAGAACCAAAAATTTTCCAAGCAATTTTTTTAAAACTGTTGGTTTTATAAATTTTTTTACAGGATGGCCTTTTTTGTGCGAAATTAAATAAAAACTCAAAAAATGGAATCAAAATACCCAATAACATAACTTAAAAAATAAAATGGGGGGCAAGGCCTTAGACCCTCCTGTTTGTGTCCTCCCTGATAATATGTATGTAAATATTGGGTCTGCAGCAGAAAAGTTGCATTTTTTAGCTTTAGTTCGTGTGCCTAAATTTATATTTTGTATAGATGACCTTGTTTCCTTTTTTGAGGGTAAATTTGTCGATTTGCCGTATCATTTTACCTTATGCGCATAGTCAGTTCATAAGTGGGAAATTTAAAATATATGATACCATATACATTAGGGTGTCCCTTATTTTTATTTTTTTTACTCATACCCTCTAATTATATTTATTACTTGTTTATATACTCCCAGTAAAAATTTCAGCTCATTCTATAAACGGGAACCCGTGCCGACTTGCATCTAAACCCTCCGTTAGCCAACGTCAGGCGCGTGCGGTATTTTGTAACACGAAACAGAAGATATACTTCATGACTGTATTTTTCTAATGATTTTATTAAATATGATTACTAATTAATATTATTGCTTTTGTTTCTATCATTTGTTTCACTAATTTAGTTGATTTTATCCCTTAAATATATTAATATACTAATTAGTATTGCTAAAATATACTGTTATATGAAATTTCAGCTTTTTATAAGCATTTCTTTTCTTGATGTCCTCCCAAAAATATTTCAGACAGTTCAATAAGTCTTCGGTAGTCATCTTTCACAATAGACTCTTTTAGTTATTTAGAGTAAAACCCATTAAGTTTATCAATTTCAGAGTTTACGGCCTATTCACCAGACCCTTCCGGGTAACTAGCCACTCCCTGTGAAAATATACATTTTTATCAAAGTATACACATAAATAAAATTATATTTTAACATTTGTCAATAATTTATAATATAAGGGTCACATAATAACAAACACAAAATGACCTACGATCGAAGACCTAACGTTGGCTAACGGAGGGTTCAGATGCAAGTCGGCACGGGTTCCCGTTTATAGAATGAGCTGAAATTTTTACTGGGAGTATATAAACACGTAATAAATATAATTAGAGGGTATGCGTAAAAAAAATAAAAAGAAGGTACACCCTAATATACATAGTAATACGTCCACGTATGATACGAATTGTCAACTAAATAAAATTTAGGTTATATCAATTTTTTTAAATCATTTGCTTACATCGCCAATGTTAAGCTCACATTAATTTCTGTGGTTTAAGTAAAATCCACTAAAAATCTCGTATTCACCATTGAAAAAAACAATGCCAAAACAATTTGTATACAACAGAAAACAAACAAAATGGTTAATTATAAAAACCATCTACATATTAGTATGTCTATGATAAAAACCTTTTGGCTATCGTGGTAGAAATACGACGTTGCCATATTCTTCCTGGTTTAAACATGCTATTATAAAAATTAAAATATCATCATTTTTTGTCTTTATTATTGTTAAATGCTTTTTTCATACAATTTATTAAAAAGTATTTATTATACATATAGGGACAAAAATTTTTTTTAACCGGCATGCGCCTCAATCCTGTGTGATTCTCACTTTCCCAAACAGAAATGATTTGTATATGTGTGAAAGTATGTGGGAAATACGCAGTTGTTATGGAAAAAATAAATAGGGAAGCTCCAGTATATTCTGACAGTTTTTGTAACCAAAAATAAAACTATACCACCATTATGGTGGCTGTGATAGCTTTGATATATTATAATAATAATTATTAACAAATTTTAACTTCATATTTTTGAAACGCCATTAGAAAATTGTGTTTAATCTTTTTTTAAATATTTAAAAAAAATAAAGTAAAAGGGAATAAAATCACTTTTATACCCTTATTTCTATAAAACTACTCTCCTACATCGTTAATGCGCCATTATTTGGACACCCTGTAGTTATTTTTATAAGTTTATTAAAATATTCGATTTTTTTATTTTTGAAAAAAATATAGGATATTGATTTTTTGTTACTTTTTAGTTTAGTTTTTAAAACGCCCATTATGTGTCCATGACACTAAGTGATTTTTTAAATACACATTGATAAGTTGTGGCTTTATAGCGCTTTAGTCACGGGCTAAAGTTAGTTTTAAGTTAGTTGACAGCTGTCAAATGTCATGCAATCGTTAAAATAAAGTGCCTTTCTTGTAAAATAATACTAAATGTGAAAATTATTTTATTATCTAAATACCAAAATACAAAAGTATTAAATAGTTTCTTGCCAATATTTGAAAAGATTATATAAATGTTTATACTAAAACGTTAAAAATTTTGCATACAGTGCCCATAAAACATTATCTTCTCTTTTACAATGAAAAACTGCTTCTATATCTATTTTCAAGGGATACATTTTGATTTACCCAACAAATTTTGAGATTTTAACGCCGGTAGATTCCCAAGTTGGAAATTTTAACGGAAATTCCAATAAATACAACTCTCACTTTTTGTACCTAGCATTTCCCGTGTAAGAATTTTTATACTTTGTGATAATTTTTTGCAATTATAGTAATAAAAAAATCAAAGGATAAAATATTTTCCTAACATAATCATATTTTAATATTTTAAAGTATCAGTGAAAATTACTTTAAAAATGTTTATTGAGATGGTTACTTTATTTTCGTATGGAAGTCGCTTTATACAAATATTAAATTTAAATCATTTTTTAGAAAATATTAAGTATTTGTCGTAGGCAACTCGTTTATAAACTTTTCTAGGCACTCATTTAATTAAGCACTCGCTCACAAGCTCGCTCGTGCCTAAATTAAATTCGTGACTAAAATGGCGTTTATCAAACTTGATACATAATATACTATTTTAAATTATCCATACAATTTTAGTTAATTATTTTAAAAACGTCCATTTATTGATTGTATTTTTAAAACTAGTGTTACCAATTTGTTTGGGACTCAAAATACAAGGCCTACTAAGTCAGTTTTTGAGAGTAAATTTTTAAGAATTCATATGAGCGATTTAAAAATAAAATCTGTGCACGACACTGTATTCACCACCCCTCAAAACGACCATATACTAAATTTTATTGAAAAATTTTCAGTAGGAACAATTTTGTAGCCAAATTAAAAATGCAAAAAAATTATTATTTACAAAAATTTCTTCTGTCAAGTTATCCATGAAAAAACATTGAAATAAAATTAAACTAATAGTAACATGGTATAAATCGCTAATATGAATTCTTAAAAATTTACTCCC